TTGTAATTGGTGTTCAGTAATTAAAGTGTCGATTTTGGTAATTCTATCGGCAGTCTTTATTATCATGAACCCCAAGCTCTCAAGATCAAGATGCAGGGTATGGTATGCAGGGTCTCAAGATCTAATAGTTGGGGCAAGAAATCACGTTGAAGAAATCGGTTATTACTGGCAAATTATTTACATAACGGCCATTCATTGTATGTGGACAATTATTATTCCAGTTTGGATATAGCTGAGGAATTATTAAATAAAAATATAGTATATAATATTTATTAAATAACGGATACATTACTATTTAATAGAAAAGGTAATCCTGCACAAGTAATGAATGCTCGATTGCAACCAAATGACATATGTGTTATGCACTAACAAAAATATCACAATAAAAAAATGGAGAGATAAGAGGGAAATTGGTTTCATTGGTTCAGAACATGATAGTCAAATATAAACAAACAAGAAATAAGTATGGAAACGTATCATTTAAACCAGCAGTGCAAGTAAATTATAATAAATATATGACAGCTGTAGACAAACATGACCAAATGCTATTATTGTTAACAGATGACCTAAATAACAAGTAAATTTACAAAAATGTTGACGACCTCTCTAACCTTTTACTAAAAAGAATATCAACGAATATGAATCGAAGCACGCAAAAAAATTTTCTTTTAGCACATCGACGCAAGATAACGGCGAGATATGCAATAAACATCACAGGGGGCCAATGACGCTCTTGGTGCGTCATCCTTGATGTAGGCCCATGACGCGCCTGATGCGTCATCGTTCAATGTTCGGGGCCTGGCTGAAGTATGCATGACAATGATGGTGGCGATAAATCGTTTAAACCACTCATGGTACAATTATTTTGGTCTTGGTTTTAAAACGAGCGTCCTCCGTCGTTTGATTGTCATCATTAAATGAAACTAATTTTACGGATATTATCTCGTTTAATTTTAAGTAAATAAAAGAAATGATGATTGTCATCATGCTTTTTGTCAAAGTTAGTTAGTTGTTGTTGAAAAAAAAGAACATAATGAATTAACTGACAGGTTCTACGATTACTGCAAGAAGTCGTGCAAAATAACGAAATAAAGTCAGCTAGTGTTTCTTTTCTGCCCTGTGTTGCCACTATCTTTTATTTCCATTATCGCGTTGCTCCAATGTATGTTCGTGGAATACACATGCATTTGTAGGTTTCTTCACAATATTTTCCTTCACCTCTGAGTACGTTATTTTTTATATATAAAATACGTGTGACAAACGAGTACACAATTCACCTGATGGTAAGAGCATGCTATGTCCCATAGAAATATTCATCTATCCTAGGTTAACAAAATGCAGATATGTTGTCTCCCGTGACAATCAAATGACTCATTGACAGTAAAACGTGTCTCCGGTTCTCTACACTCGCCGTACGAAACATAGCAGCATTAAGCCCCTTGTTTACTCTGCTATTCTTCCTCGGTCGAGCCAAACCATTCGTGCTACAACCATAATATAGTTGCAGCGTGGCTCTACCACGTACATAACATTATAAATAAGCACTTAAAATTACGATGTTACTCGCGTACTATCAAATTTAAATCCCTCCAGTGCTATATAATAATTTTAGCCGAAGTAGCTACCGCGGTAATGTTAATGTATTGTTGTGTTTTATTTTATTTATATATGTCACAGGAAAATAACAAGAGTTTACAAATTTTCTAGCAAATTTATAAACCTTCGTAGAATTCTAAACAACGGCTAAATTGTATTATTTTACGCCCACATTTTTGTAAATTTATCAATTTGGGACGTCTCGTGGTAAATTTATAAACTAACGGATTTCCATTCGTAAGATTCTAAACGATCCGACCAATCACAGATGAGCTTTTAATTTTACGCTTCTTTAAAATACATCAAATAACACACTGCTCTCTGATTGGTCGATGTTGACAGTGGCAATGTTTCTTTCCATAGACTTAGAAACAATCAGACTAGCCTAACTATAAATTTATCAATTTTACTTTAAAACTAGGTCCTATAATAAAGTATAATAGACCTATAATAAAGTGTTATTTTTTTACATAATAATGCTACTTAACTCTACCAAAATAAAACAACAGAAATAGTGTTATACGATATTTAAGAGGTTTATTAAAAAGAAAAAAAATAATCATAAAACATAAAAACCGGCCCTTAAAAAAATTCAAACATTAAAATTAAATAAAAATTATATTCGTGAGCCTCAGGCGAATTGTCAAACAGACGCTAGGTAAGTGAGAGCTTTATGAAGAATATGTTTAAAAAACATATAACAAATTAAATATAGAAAAAAAGGAAATTGAAAGTTAAAAGTTTATCGTTTATGTCAGTACTCGTATTATTCCCGACTATTTACTTATTGCAACTTGTCAAAGATTTATGGCACCTCGAATTACACAAAATATTATCATTTTTACAATTGCACTTATTAGATAAACATTGTCCCTTGGAATATTTTTTGCAGTTGCATTGCTTCATTACTTGCCCACCAAATGCAGAAGACATCGCAGATATTTTCTCAATGGTAACTTGGCCTGTAAATATAAAAATCTAGCACATAAAAAATTGAATTAATGTTTATAGGTATTAAAAAAGTTAAATTAAAAATTATTTATTTCTATAATAAAAGAAGCCTTAAATATAATTTTGAACGGAGCCTCCATTTAAGCTCAAAAAGCCTGTGTTTGGAGGAACCGCTCTTCCTTAATTAACTTACATAACTAAATGGCATTAATAACACAAGATGATGACACGCTCAACCCATCCCACCCAACAATCATAATATCTTGGGATCAGTACAAATAACAAAAATAAAAAATGCAAAATAACTACAGGATGAGCTGAACGTACCACGTAGCTAAACAATTTGTAAGGTATAATAGTAAAAATTGTAATCGAACCTCTGGAAGATCATCAGTCAAAATTTCTCCTGGGGTTGGAAGGACAGCGTTTCGAGGCAACCAGTCATTGATAACTCCAAAAGAAGTGCCAACTATTGTTATATATTGTTGTATAATTCATTCCTTTTGTCTATGACTTTGCCAACCACATTCTTGCTATCTAAAGGCCCTCTATCTATTTTTGGAACTTCGACTAATACATTAGCACCAACATCAATATTTTTGAATTTATTAGATGAATGTGCTGTCATTTTTTCTACAGCTCTTTTTAAATTCAAGTGCGAGTTATTCCTTTTTCTCAGGATGTTTATTTCGTTTGAGCACAAATTACATATCAACTGCGACCCATATCCTTCATCATTGTTTTCTGTTGACTCTCCACAGATTACGTGTGTGATACGTTTACATTTAATACACGTATGGTATAACAAAGAATCATCAGGGGATTCTTTGTTACATATGTGACAAAACAATGTATCTGATTCGCCAACTTCGATTTCGTGTGAAATCACGTCAAAGTCGTGCAAAATATGGTTTGTATTTGCGACCATGCTTTCACTGCCAACTACGAGTACTTTGACTCGCTCAGTCTCAGTCAAGCTTTCTGTGATAATAATTGAATCTGTGGAACTATCAAGAGTTTTACAAAGATTTTCTTGTTCGGAAGTTATATTTTCATCGTCATTCGGTCTTACGTTCATTGTCATTTGTAGTTTCTAAGAACGTCTCCTAATCTTCTTCCATTTCAAACTGAGAAATTATATTCTTAGACAATGCGTAGAAGTTAGACCGCATCTTGGATCATCTCTAAACAGGGCTTTAAAAGGTATCTTTCTAATCGTAGAATGGTATGAAGAATTTTTCTGAAATTGAGCGAAGTAACAGCCTATTGACCAATTATTCGAATTATTATCTACCATCCAAGCCCGAATCATATTCTTCACGTCTTGGTTTGATCGTTCTACACTTCCCTGACTTTGGGGACATCTGGGTCTTCCATTCACAATTTTGCAAGCTGGCCATAAGCCAACAATTTCTTTCAATACTGATGCCGTGAACTCCCGTCCATTGTCGCTCTGAAGGATATTGGGACAACCGACTTCTAAAAATATCTTCAAAATCTCTATTGCGACTTCTTTTGCTTCTTTACTCTTTAGAGGTCGTAAAAAACAAAACTTTGTCAAATGATCTTGGTACTGTAGCATCCATTTGTACTCCCCATCTGGAGATGATTGAAAATCATCTGAAATAAGTGGTTTTACGACTATCCCAGCTTTAGGGAAACTTTGTTTGGAAACAAGTATTCCTCACTAAAAGTCATACTTTTTGGCGTGATAGTATTCTTTATCTGTAGGCCGACGTCCCAAAACTTTAGCTTTATTAAAATCTTATATCATTTTAATTACATTTTTAATTTTCTCCTCTGTCCATTCCGAGTTCTTACTATTTTAGTCATGGCCACTATAAAACTTTCGTAGCTCTGTAGTAAATTTCACTTCGTCAACAATTTTTGTAGCATTTGCCGCACTATCTTCACCGTTTTGGCTGTCCGCAGCTTGTAGGTCGCTCATTATGGGTCTTGCTTAGTAACCTTAGCAAAATAAAACTATTTTCACAATTCCAACACAGGTTAAAACATTAAAATTAAAATTTACAAAAACACACGAGCAGCCGGTTTGTTTACATTCCGTGGCGAACAATGGCGGTGGAGAGGAAGGAGAAGGAACACGTGACTTATTCAACCAATCAGAGCGCACATGGCGTTTTGGTTATTGCCCGAAACGTCGGGAATTAAAATAAAAAAGTAAAAATAAACGCGATAAAATCCGTAAAAGTAGTTTTAATCATGTGCAATGTTCGCGTATATATAAGAAATCATTATATTGCTTACTTCTTATTTTACGCGTGAGTTCGGTAAGTTTATCTATTTGCAAAAATGTTGACGTAAAATAATACAATTTATCTGTCGTTTAGAATTCTACGTAGTTTTATAAATTTGCTAGGAAATTTATAAACTTGCGGTTCTTGTTATTTTTCTGTGACATATATATACCATTTTACTTTTGATTCATGTAGGTATATGAACTGGCACGTGAGACAATAGTGCTTCTGCTGGACTGCAACCCAGATATTGGACCATTGTTAGACTGGACAGTTGACAAGTGCTTCACGGGACCCCCACGGGTCGCTGACGGCTGCTTCATGGCACTCGCAACTATATTCAGCGCGAGGTGAGTACTTTATTTTAAGTCTGAGCCTTAGAACGATTGAATGATGATGTAGCTCTAGAATGTAAAGCGGCTAGCTTAATTAAACAGAGGGCTATTTGATTCCAGCCTAGAGGATGATATCCTTGTTAGCATTCCTGGAACCTGGTGGAAATGCGGACGCTGGTAAATTAAGAAATTCCTTCGCTATATGTCTTGTAGAGTGTAATTCCCACACTTGTTGATAGATTATATAGAATGATACAAAAGACGCTATGATATAATAATTGATATGATTTTAGAATGATAAGCAACTTCTTGATCTGAATGCCTGCAGTGCACTGATCGATCATTTATTGCTAATAAAAGTGCTGTGTTAGTGATGGCCAAATACTTAAACAGTACTCAAATTTAAGATGTCGTTAAGTCTTGTGGTGAAACAGTCACTTCGCCTTAAAGTGATAGAGACAGCACGAGACTTAACGGCGTTCTAAAATTGAGCAGCTTTTGAGTATTTGGAGATAAGAGTGCTAAGTTAACAAAATTAAATACATAAAGGTATGGCGTAGCGTTCTAAACTACCAAAAAGTAATGTAATGAGTTTTGAAACTTTTAAAGATAACCAAAAATTGTTAACGTCTGATAAAAGCACAAAATATGTATTTAAAGCAATAAAACTTTTAATTTGATAAATAATTTTTTTCATACAAATATTTTATTTTTTCTTATTCAAAGGATTCAATACGTTTTTTTCCTCAAAAAAGTTGGCTACCATATTCATAACCGCCTTTGATATTGTATCATAACCTTTAGGCTGACTGGCAGAAAATGGTTTTAGCATAAAGTCCGCCTTGTGTTACATACACTTCAATAAAGAATAAAAAAAGAAGCATCTTTACTTATAGCTACATAACACATATTGCACCAAATATTGCAATGCATCATCATTAATGTATCAAAAAACAGGCATCTGAGTCAGTATTACAGTTGTATAGCTGCAGTGTATTTAACTACCAACTGATATCCTGCCAGAGATTTTAACAAGACCTCACGATCAGACCTGCGGACCCCTTTTCCCAAGGGAGGTCGCTTCCATAAAGGCCAGTTTCGCAAAAATCTGACTTCTGTCTTACTGACTTTGACTATTTATCGATGTAGTCATTTTATAGACTTGATTGTTTTCTTGAGCTTTTTATAGCATCGGGTGACACGAGCACACAGTCAACCTGAGGGTAAGTGGATGCTGTGACCCATAGATATCCATTACAATAGATACATTTATCCTCATTTAAGAATCAAAATGCAAATGCATTATCACCCCTGAGAATTAAGATGGAATGCCTCAATTCCAGCAAAAAGGGTATCCGGTTCTTTACACCATACGAAACATAACAGCATTACGCTGCTATTTTACGCTGGTATTCTGTGGGATCGTGGTTCTGCCCTGATCGAGTGGACCCGTTCGTACTACAACTTATATAACTGCAGCGTGGCTCTACCACGTAAAACACTAGTAAACAACAAGCATCACTAGCGATCTGTCAGGGCTTCGCACGGGTGATTTCTTGACCTCAACAACTCTACAGAGTCCAAACGCGAATATAACCATCCCAGGGACCAACACGTTCCAGCCGTTTTCGAGTTTTAGCGAGATTAACGGACTGCAGTTGATTTTTATAGAGATAAGAAATGAACGAAAAGTATCTTAATGTTGCTTTATTATTGCCCAAACTTTGCTTGTAATGTCAATCTGGTTTTTAATATCAGTTAACATTAAAAAAAACCTGATGCGTGGCACCATTAATTATAAATAAATCACGGGTTAGAATTTATATGATTGAACCAAATGACAAGTTAAAATGTTATCTACCTACGTACGTACGTAAATTAGTTATACGAAGTAAATAAAAAGAGCTAAAGGTCGGCATAGTATAGATTTTAGGAGACTATGACTTTTGTAAGTTGATATTTTTTTTTTTGATATTTTAAACTGCTCTAATTTTTTATGTATTTAAATATCTTTAAATTTCTTAGTCTATTACTTTATTTTGTTAAGCATTTATTCACTACGAAGATTGTATTTAAAATTCATGTTACAAGTAGATTATGCAGGCTCCAACCGCACCCTTTGCGTTTTAAACGTACACTCGAATAACTCTCAGATAACTTAGAGGTGGTGTGTTTTCTCTTTGTTACTTTTTATACTAAATTATTAATTTAGCATACCGCTAAACTGTCTGAAATCGTGACAAATCGCCCGTGGTTTTGGGAAATGATGAGATCTCATACTAAACGCATGTTTAAATTTTCCTTCAATACATATTTCATTAAAGCATGCTCTGTTACCGAATAATACACTCACCGGCACGGAAACTTGGCCAAGCGGTTATCTCGCGATAGCAAAAGCTTTAAGTGTTTCTGATGAATGTTTGTTATGCAAGTATGTCAAAAAATGTTTACCCTCAAGTTCAAGAGGGTAATTCATTATGTTTAAGTGCACCATGACGAATTCTTTAATTTTTAGTTGAATCGGGTCATTTGAGCGACTAAGTTCACATTTTAAATTTGTGTGTTGTGAAAAGTTTACTGTAAGGTTATTCAATTATTGTGATCTTGTGTCTTAATTAAATAACTAAAGGTGCTTTAAAGCCAATAAAAATGCCATTAACACCAGCACAAGTTGCACAAGCAGTAGCATTAATTGACCAAGGGCTGACACAGCGTGAAGTTGCTATTGTGCTTAACGTACCACGGTCCTCAATGCAGTATTCACTGAAACGATACCAGGAGACAGGCCGCTACACCCGCAGGCCAGGCAGTGGGGGCGTAAGGTGCACATCGGCCCGGGATGATCGTTTTATTGTTATGGAGATTTTGAGAAACCGCTACCTGACCGCTGTTGAGATACGCCAGCGGCTCCAAATCGCAAGAGGCGTTAATGTTAGTGAGCGTACGGTGAGAAGACGAATGGAGGAAGTGAATTTAAAAGCTCGTAGACCAGCACGAGGTCCAGAACTTCTCAGACAGCACCGAGTAGCCCGACTTCAGTTTGCAAGAGAACATGTCAATTGGACCCACGAGCAATGGGCTAGAGTGTTGTTCACAGATGAGTGTCGAATAGCTTTACGTGCTCCAGACGGTCGAGAACGAGTGTGGAGAAAAAGAGGAGAGAGGTTTCTACCCATTACCACCACCCAAACTGTGAGTTTCCATGGAGGCTCAATAATGGTATGGGGAGGTGTAAGTTCCGACGCACGTACAGAGTTGGTCATCGTCGATAATCGGCTTACAGCTACTCGATACATCGAGGAAGTTCTTCAGGAGCACGTAATGCCTTATTCGGGATTCATTGGACACGACCAATTCCTCCTCATGCACGATAATGCACGCCCGCACGTCGCACATTGTGTAGAGGAATATCTGGAAGAGGTTGGAATACAAAAATTACAGTGGCCGGCTCATAGCCCGGACTTAAATCCAATTGAGCATGTATGGGGTATGCTCAAAAGAAAGATAAAGTCCAGCTCCAAACCGCCACAAACTCTAAATGAGCTCCGAAATGCAGCGCTGGCCGCTTGGGACAGCATACCGCAAGTTGATGTCAGAAACATCATTCAAAGCATGCCAGATCGAATGCAAGCGGTTATCAGGGCTAGAGGAGGAAACACCCGATATTAAAACTGATAGACAATAAAGAAACAGACTTAATTTTTAACTTTGTAGTGTTTTTAAAGTGACAATGGAAAGATGTTAATTTTAGTGAAAACATGTTATCTTGAAAAGAAAAATTTCGGTGAAGTAAACATTAAATTTCTATGTTCTAAAACCATTAGAGACACTTATTGAATGCATCTACCCTTAATTTACTGTTAAAAAAACGTTTCAGTGCAAATAATCAGCAAATTCACGAGTGGCCAAGTTTCCGTGCCGTATAAACGTACGGTTACAATGCCAGTTTCATTTGTTCAAATCAATGTTCCAATGTCGATGGAAGTTAATAAAACGGTAATTAAAACTTCATATTGAACAGACTCTCTCCTTTTTGAGGAGAAGGTATTCAATTCCACTGTATGCTATTTTTTATGTCTGTTATCTCAGAATTTTTTTCTAGGTGAACAGAGTTCGATGATTATTTATATTACAAAGCTGTTACTTCTCGTGTCTCAACTTTTTTTTTTTAATTTTACCACTTGTTTTACGTCCTTTATCGTTATAATGACTTTAACATTAATTGTAATAGATACAACATTATTGTTTTAGGAATAGTTATAGTCTATGGTCGATATCGTGTCTGCACAAGATTAAAAATAGTTTTTGACTAATAAAGTATTTTAAGAACTACGTCTACTCACTTCATGTCCATCAGGCCGTAAAAATCTACTTCTTGACAGTTGGTGGACCCCATTACATTTCTCTGATATATGTTATGGAACTAGTGTTAATCACTCAGGGCACTGGTTCTGAGAAAGTGGCGTGCATCGTGGATACAACGCAGTGCAGTGGCAAAGTCTTACTCCAAAAACATAGAATGATTTATCGTAAAATTACATTTTATTTGTATGTATAAATGTATAGATATAATGTAGCGGACTCTTGAGATCAAAACCAATTTAATTATACCAATTCCAAGTCCGTTAAGCTGTTTACGTTACGGGATATTACAAAGACGTGTATTACAAATAAAATGTAATTTTACGATAAATCATTCTATGTTTTTCACCAACTGTCAAGAAGTAGATTTTTACGGCCTGATGTACATGAAGTGAGTAGACGTAGTTCTTAAAATACTTTATTAGTCAAAAACTATTTTTAATCTTGTGCAGACACGATATCGACCATAGACTATAACTATTCCTAAAACAATGATGTTGTATCTATTACAATTAATGTTAAAGTCATTATAACGATAAAGGACGTAAACAAGTGGTAAAATTAAAAAAATTGTACAACCGACTTCAATCTGTATGTGATGTTGATTATAATATGAACAATAACTGCAGCAAAATAGCTATAAAGTGGCGCTT